TGGGCAGAAGTTGTCGAGAACAACGGCGATTATATTGTTGATTGACGCGGCATGTTTTTGAAAAATAAAGTTGCTTATTGTGTGAGCAGAAAAAAAACGTGCAGAACTTATGTGCCAATGGGATAGACAATGCGACGAAACTGCAGCTTTTTCTTATCAAGCGCATCGAGCATGGCCTGGAAAACCATGGTGTATTCGAATCCAATGGGTATATGCGCCTTCTGCGCCTTCGCGAGAAAATCACGTTGCTCGTCAGCCAATTTGTAGCGCGTGTGAGCGACAGCGGCCCGAGCTTGTTTTAGCCGCCGTAATTGTTCGAGATCGACACTGAATTGCTGCTGGATGGGTTGAAGGAATTTGTTCAACCGCTGATCGATTTCATTGTCATTCAGCAGAGTCTTGCCCATACGCAGGCGCTCGGCCTGTTCTTCTTCGATGGTGGTCTCGATCTGGCCAATTTGATTTGCATAACTTGTCCAAGTTTGATTGCACTGAGGCTCGAATATATACCGTGTATATAATGTGCCAATATCGGCAGCCATAAGAAGAAGTTCATTTGTTTCGATTTGCTCTTTGAGGCGACGGACGTCGCTTTCAAGTTCGATTATTCGTCGTTCGTAGAGAGAGAAGAGCGTTTCCAACTCTTTGCGTAACTGGAGCAGCACATCCTTGAGTTTGCTTTCGCTCATTATTTCTATCACACTGTCGATCGAGCGTAGAAGGGCGACGACGATGGCCTCGGTGGCCTGCGGTTGACGAGACGAGCAGTCAATACCACGGAAGACCGCAAACTTCTCACGCAGTACATGTGACAGTGCATTACAGCGGTCCTTGTCGAGAAATTCGATGATGTCCTGCATTGCAGGTTGCGACAGGAATTCCGCAACTTCTTCGTCGATTGTTTTCAATGATGGGTTCGACATTTCGAAAATAGCAAATTCTGAAACACAGAACGTGATAAGAATAGCACGATAATGTCGATAAGAGGAAAATGGCCAGCGGATGATTGTAGAGTTCTAGGACCGAGAAGGGATTTAGATCGAGTGGATTTTTTGGTACACAGTTCGGCGAAACGGAAACCGACATTTCCTCATCTAAGTGCGGTTACGCGCTATCCGCGAAAGAAACTCATCCCACTCGACGTTCTCTTCAATACTCGCTATTCGCACAATGTGACAATCTATGCCTGGTTGACACAACGAGCTCGTCTCTGTTCCACCATGCTAATCAACACAGCGGACAAAGTGAAAGGAACGGATTATCATCATTAGATGGTCTCGTTGATCTTGTCCGCAATGATGTCAGTTACTTTTTCGCGAATAGCCAATGAGAACGAGCGCCAGATTCAACGTGTTGTTCATCGTCAATAAAGACAGATTTTGAGTTGATTATAAGAATAAACGGAGGAAAAATGGATTGTAGAACGTGTTTTCAATAAAAAAATCCAATTGATAATGATGTCGAGAGAAAGGTTCGCGGACGATTTTTGATAGGGTCATGACATCGGTCAAATGCGCTGAGTCGTGATTGGGGAAATGATCCGCAGACTGATACACTGCCCCGGAAAAGAACGGTAAAAGTATGCTGATGGCATGGAACAAATGTGCCGATTGGACGGTAAAAAACTAACCGGCATGCTTCAACCATGCCATTGGTACACTTTGACCGTGCCTTCAGCACATTTGTTCCATGCCGTCAGAAGTGATGTGCTGTTGGAACGCTTTTAGTGTGCCGTTCGGTGACATTCTTTGTGTGTGACAAAAGCACGCTTTGCTCTCATAATTTTGAAAGTGTGCTAGAAGCACGTTTCAAATGTCAAAATAGCACAGTTATGATGACTGTTCGTATACGAACAGGTTGTCTTCTTTTAGCCGAAAATAAGTTGGTTGTCCCTTTTTTTACTGAGAAACTGATTTTACTGAACTTTTCTGATTGGGTGATGGAAAAATTTACGCTCTGGTGACTCAGAAACCCAGTTCAGTTCAGTTCAGTTTCTCAGTAAAAAAAGGGACAACCGACAAAACTCATTTGCATGAAAAAGTGTAGTCAATCTCAAACGTGTAGGTGTCGATCAAATTCATTGGATAGAAAGCTCGGATATGGTCAGAAAATCCTAAAAGTCTTATTTAAAACAGTCAGATCTCTCGGGCAAGCACGAGAAATTGATGATGGCGCTATTGATCATCTTAAAATTTTGACATACGAAAGCGCCATCAGCGACTTTTCTCATTACGGACGAATTGCCCAAAAAAAAGATCAGATCAAACAGAACATAACATAATTTCGGCTTATAACTGAACTTTCGATCCAACGAATTTAAGCCCCACACATTGAAAGGAGAGGGCGTTTATTTGTTTTCGATTAAATGAGCCATCAGTTCTTGGCAACAATTATTATCAATGTTCAGCGCAAAGAAGCTAGCGACTGACTCATTTTCGTGGTAACTTATCTTGTTTTTATTACGTGCAGATCCATAGACTTATAGTGGCTCAGAATTTCATCCAATGAAAGTTTCTCTTTTGTTAGCGCACAAAGCACGTCACCTTCAAATCAGCTGTTCTATCGAAAACAAAACACGTCTCATGTCAACTGCAGATATCTGGATGACCTTTTGGCGCGGGAAGAAAGCAAGAAGTGTGAGGCTTGAGCCAACTTATTGCGCTTGTAGAAAGTTCAGATTACCAATAAGGCTAAATCGCTCTTCAAAATTTATTTATATCTACAAGACTTTTCTACACTTTTGTGTCCCAAAGTTGAATGTAAAATCTGGCGAAAAAATATCCTAAACGTTTGCAATGCATAATTCTTTCTTTATGCTGCAGATTTATTTCAGATGGAATCTGTTCTATTCAAGTAGTTGGAGTGTGCAACTTTCTGGCTTAACAGGTATGAAATTTCAGTTATTCTCAGAACATGTTGCTCACGTTTTCTCTCTTTACATTTCTGTCTTGGGGCGCTTCTAATGAGGCTTTGTTACTCGTTGCACAGACTGTACAAAGTATACATGTCCTGAACAAAAGCATGTAGCAATCAAATACGAGAGTTTCGAAGGTCTGCTCAAAGTAAAAGAAAGAACAGTGTGCGTCGTTTAGCGAGAAAGTCCTAAGTTACGTACGTATTTCATATATGATACGATTTTGTAGAAAAGTATGCTAGGTCGATGTTCATTCAAAGATCTTCAGTGCTTATGATCGTTGCTGCTCTTGAATAGGTTAAGTGGCGTACTCTTCTCCCGGATATCGTCGCGTTCATACGATATAGTTTTAGAAACTTGTTTCAACATACGATCTCCTCATCTAGTACCACAGTTTCTTTATTTTAGAGATTGGTGATGGCGTCCAGTGACCTATTTTCTTCATTGATTAATTTATTACTATTTGTAAAATTCCGATGGTTAAAATCAGATGATTAACGTATTTTTAAACGATAGTGTTCGTTTTAGTCTTTGTTCGTATTGTGTATTTTCATCATTATTAAAACGAGAGAAGAAATTCAAAACGCAAGAAGACAAGTCGAAAATATTTTTTTGTCAAATACTTATGTCAAACAAACAGTGAATACGTCTATCTAATTTCTTGTCTATCCCGAGCATTGAATGTACAGTTAATAAAAGATATCTATTTTTGTTTTTCGTCTACTTTTTTCTTTTTCCTACTGTGTTTTTTTTATCTATTTTAACTATCTTTCTGTCATAATGAAAACGAACGGTTCATCAACAACATTCACGATGCACGATCGTCAAGCGGCAGCCATAGCACCGTCTAATAACAATGTTTCAACGACCACCTGTTCAATAAATCTCACATCACCATCATCATCCACATGTCAGCAACAAACAATCACCACAACTACCATAACAACCACGTCGATGATGCAAACGGGTTCATCTCTGGGACCAGTTACAGATACACATCAGCAGCTACTTGTAAATTTGTTTGAATGCCCAGTTTGTTTTGATTATGCTTTACCACCCATATTACAATGTCAAAGTGGTCATATTGTGTGCACTCAATGTCGTCAAAAACTATCATCTTGTCCTACGTGTCGCGGTCCATTAGGTAACATTCGAAATTTGGGTATGGAAAAAGTGGCAGATACCATCCTGTTCCCATGTAAATATCAAACAAACGGGTGTTTAGCGAACCTGATACATAAACACAAGTTAGAACACGAAGATACATGTGATTTCAGACCGGTATTCTATTGTAGGCATTTGTATTTCAAAAAAAAAGATTTTTTCCTATTTTCTTTTCTAGTATTTATGTCCGTGTCCTGGAGCATCGTGTAAGTGGCAAGGATCATTAGAACATGTTATGCAACACTTATGGTTAACTCACAAGTCAATCACCACACTCCAAGGAGAAGATATTGTTTTTCTGGCAACAGACATTAATCTTCCAGGAGCAGTGGACTGGGTAGGCTTTTCTTGCGCTCTTCTACCCGTCATGAAACATTTCGTCTATTGTAGGTTATGATGCAATCTTGTTTTGGCCATCATTTTATGTTAGTATTGGAAAAGCAAGAAAAATATGAGGGAAGTCAGCAATTTTTTGCCATTGTGCAATTAATTGGCACGAGACAACAAGCAGAAAAATTTGTTTATCGCTTAGAATTAAATGGTAGTAAAAAACGTTTGACATGGGAAGCAACTCCACGAGTAAATTACTCACTTTTCTTAATTTCTCTCAGTTGTTTTTATTTCTGGATGTTTTAGTCTATACATGATGGCATTCAAAATGCAATTATGAACAGTGATTGTCTTGTATTTTCGTTCGAGAGTGCATCATTATTTGCTGAAAATGGAAACTTAGGTATAAACGTCACGATATCCATTACTTAACACTGATAGCTGTTCTCTTTCTTTTTTATATGTCTTATGTATCTGGTTATAGAAAAAAAGAACTTAATTGTTGTTTTTACTCGAATGTCTGTCTTTCTTGTTGTTTTCTGAAAATAGACATATTTAAAAAATGAAACTGGAAAATTATATATCATTGCAACTAATCTACGGACGGAAAGGCAGCGGGTGTTCCAAAAAACGTTTGCAATATTCTTTATTTGCACACATCTACCCAGAAATATGATAAAATTCTAAAAATATGAGACTATGAAAAAAATACTGCGAATACGTAATCTCGAGTACTTCATATTTTAAAAGACACGGGAAAATAAAAAAAGAAGCAAAGTTCGCTCCTAGTCGCTTGTGATGACAAAGAATTTGAAATCTTGTCAGTGAATAGAGTTTTACGAGTGCTACAGAATAGCTGTCTTCTCTTTTTGTATATCACAAGATGGAAG